GAAGATCCATCCAGTCCATACTTCAGGAAATAAAGCCCAACTGCTCATTGGAGGGAAGGATAGTAGAGGGAAAGATGAAGTACTTTGGCCACATCATGAGAAGAAAGGAAAACTTAGAGAAGACAATGATGCTGGGGAAAATGGAGGGAAAAAGGAAGAGGGGCTGACAAAGGGCAAAATGCATGAATGTTATCCTTGAAGTGACTGACTTGACTTTGAAGGAGCTGGGGGTGGTGACGGCCGACAGGGAGCTCTGGTTTGGGCTGGTCCATGAGGTCACAAAGAGTCAGAAGTGCCCAAACGAATAAACAACAACAACAATGGGAGCTGGACTTTGATGGCGAGGCACCCCCACTCTTTGGCAGGGGAGTCTCAATAGAAGTCAAACTCTCGGGATGCTATTACATTGAGCCATGGCTGCTCAAGTGATATTGAACTGCATTAATTCCACAGTGTAGTACAGGCCTGGGCAAACTTGGGCCCTCCAGGTGTTTTGGACTTCAACTCCCACAATTCCTAACAGCCTCAGGCTCCTTCCTTTTTAGAGTTGAATGGAGACCAATGGTCAAGCCAGGCGCTCTGTCCAGCCATTTTTCATAACATCAACAAATATGCCCAGGAGTTATAACAGGCATGGTCAAATTTCAGTCCTCCAGGTGTTTTGGCCTTCAACTCCAATAATTCCTAACAGTCTTAGGTCCCTCCCTTTACCCCCTCAGGGGAAAAGGAAAGAGCCTGATGCTGTTAGGAATTATGGGAGTTGAAGTCCAAAACATCTGGAGGGACAAAGTTTTCCCATGCCTGAGTTATGGCAATTCACCTTTTCAATAGGTCAGAGGGTCTCTGAATGTATCCAGGCAGGCTTTAAGAATTTGACAAAGGAAATGGCTTATATTTTAAATTGCACAGCTTAATTTTTTAAAAATAATTGAGATGTGTAGGCTTTAATATGATTAATAGCTTGGTTCTCTTTTAGTGTTGACTTTTTAAATTGGTGTCTTTTAAATATGTTAATGGCTTTGAATCCCAGGTGGGATATAAATAAAGATCATGATGATACTGTCACTTTTTCCTGGAGGATTTTAAGAGTCCACATGGCCTCTTGAGTGTCCCAAGGCAGAACTTTGCTTTGAAACAATTATCCAACCTCGATTTAGTACTACAGTCTGCACAACAAATGTGATGCACCAATTTGGCCATAGCTTATTATGACTTCTGGGCTACTATACATTTGACAGTTCTCCTGTTTTGATAATCCTGGGCCAAAATACGCCAAATGCACCAGATTCCATCATATCAGGGAAGCGAAGCAGGTTTACTTATTTATGATTTTATTTTCTGCATTTATATACTGCTTTTCCTCACCACTGTGGGACCCAAAGTGGTGTACATCAAGTAATGGCAAGATTCTATGTCAATCTATATACAAAATCAGATCATAATAACTAGAATGATAACATAACTATAAATTAAACTATTAAAATCATATTAAACATAGAACATAAACAGATATTTAAAACAATTAAAACATAGAATTAAAAACATCTTAATAAAACATTAAAATCACATAATACAGAATTGTAATCCAAAGCCATTCCTATTGTCAACTGCACTTACTCCTATTCATTCTTGCACTGCTGAACTTTTCTGTCCGAAGGCTTGGCCCTGTTTTTACGTTTTTTTCACTAGGGAGGGACTTCCAGAGCCATGAGGCCCCCACTGAGAAGGCCCTATCTCTTGTTCCCATCAAGCATGCCTATGAAGGAGGCGGGACTGAGAGAAGGGCTTCCCCAGAAGATCTTAATTTCTGAGATGGTTCATGGAGATATGTTCGACAGGTAAGCTGGGCCAGAACCATCTAGGGCTTTATAGGCCAAAGCAAGCACTTTGAATTGTGCTCAGTAGCAGACTGGCAGCCAGTGGAGCTGATGCAACAAGAGAGGTATCCTATCTCTCTATGCTGCTCCAGTGAGGAATCTGGCTGCTACCGACTGGACCACTTGGAGCTTCCGATCCGAAAAGTCATAGAATCATAGAATCAGAGTTGGAAGAGACCTCATGAGCCATCCAGTGCAACCCCCTGCCAAGAAGCAGGAAAATCGCATTCAAAGCACCCCTGACAGATGGCCATCCAGCCTCTGTTTAAAAGCCTCCAAAGAAGAGCCTCCATCACACTATTCCAGGACAGAGTTCCACTGCTGAATGGCTCTCACAATCAGGAAGTTCTTTCTAACATTCAGGTGGAATTTTCCTGTAGTTTGAAGCCAATGTTCTCCGTCCTAGTGTCCCGTGCATCAGAAAACAAGCCTGCTCCCTCCTCCCTATAGCTTTCTCTCACATATTTATACATGGCAATCATATCTCTTCTCAGCCTTCTCTTCTGCAGGCTAAACATGCCCAGCTCTTTAAGCTTGTTCTCCAGACCTTTGATCATTTTAGTTGTCCTCCTCTGGACACATTCCAGCTTGTCAGCATCTCCTTCAATTGCGGTGCCCAGATGTAGACACAATGTGATTCCAGATGTGGTCTGACCAAGGCAGAATAGAGGGGTAGCATGACTTCCCTGGAGCTAGACACTAGACTCCTATTGATGCAGGCCAAAATCCCATTGGCTTTTTTAGCTGCTGCATGACATTGTTGGCACAACACGTACGACTGAACCACCTCTGAACACTCCTTGCCTGACTGAACTCTATGAAATTAATGGGGTCAACAAGAGGTTGACGTGCAACTTGTAGGCACACTTACACATGCACACAGTATACATGTATACGTATGTATATTCTCAAGCCCTTGGTGGCTGCAGTATATGGCAGGCTGCAGATAGTTCTGTGACGCACAAGCATTCAATTACATACATTATCAGATATGTTGTCTGTTGTCCAGTTATTTTTATGACTTAGTCCTTACTTGATACAAATCAGTAACCTACAAATTACTACAAAGAAAGACTTTGGATTGTAACCTTGGATAAGTCACAGCAGCAGCTCTTGTGAAATGAAGTAAAACTCAGTGGAAGCCAGTGTTAATACACATTTCTCTATTGTTAACACTACTCAGATGAACAAGCCGCCCAGGTGAGCAGTGAAACTATCTATCCATGGACACATTACTCGTCCTCTTCCTCCTCCTCCTCCTCCTCCTCCTCCTCCTCCTCCTCCTCCTCCTCCTCCTCATTATATTTATACCCTGCCCTTCTCACCCCGAAGGGGACTCAAAGCAGCATCGCATTAGCAATGTTAAGTGAGAAACTGTTGAGACAAATGAAAAGGTACGTATCAATCATTCAGTAATGTAAAAAGTGGCTTTGCATCACTGGTTTTACCACTGATACAGGATAGTATATTGGCCCCCGGTGGCGCAGTGGGTTAAACCGCTGAGCTGCTAAACTTGTTGACCAAAGGTTGCAGGTTCGAATCCGGGGAGTGGGGTGAGCTCCTGCTGTCAGCCCCACTTCTGCCAATCTAGAAGTCTGAAAACATGAAAATGTGAGTAGATCAATAGGTATCGCTCTGGCAGGAAGGTAACGGCGCTCCATACAGTCATGCTGCCCACATGATCTTGGAGGTGTTTACAGACAACGCTGGCTCTTTGGCTTCGAAATGGAGATGAGCACCAACCCCAGAGTTGGACACGACTGGACATTATCAGGGGAAAACCTTTACCTTTACCTTACAGGATAGTACACAGCAGAATTCAGCAAAAGATTATTCAAAAGTAAAATTCTGCATGGTTAATTGAAGCCTACCAGTAATCACACTGCTCTCTGCATCATTCTTCTAATTAGACCACTGCAATCTATAGTGGGGTCTTGGTATCTGCTGGGATTGGATTCCAGTACCCTTGTGTACATCAAAATCCATGGATGCTCACGTCCCCTTGTATACAAGGGCACGGTAAAATGTTGCTATGAAACGGAAGGAGGGTAAAGCAGAGTATGCCTACATATCAGTATAGGACTTGGTGTGTGGCAAAATCAAGGTTTAGCTTCTGGATTTTTTTTGGATATTATGATGTGGGTTTCACAGTTATGGGGGTATTACATTTACAGAGAGAGGGCTTTCTGGGTGGTGGCTCCCAAACACACTCATCCTCTTATAAGAAACTGCCATCTTCCAGTTTGCTCCTCCAATTTCTTTAAGTCAAATTAACTTCTGTTCTGTTTCCTATGTTGATTCTGTTATTAATAGGTTATGTTGTTCTTTTACATTAAAGCGGTTTTACATGTATTGTCGAAGGCTTTCACAGCCGGAATCACTGTGGTGTTGTGTGGATTCTGGGCTGTATGGCTGTGTTCTAGCAGCATTTTCTCCTAACATTTTGCCTGCATCTGTGGCTGGCATCTTCAGAGGATATGATGCTGGTAAAGGAAGTGGAGTATATACCTGTGGAATGGCAAGAGTGGAAGAAAGAACCAATGTCTATTAACTAAGTGTGAAGGGTGCACCTAGCAAGCTTGATTTGCAAGTGTTTGGGTGGAATCCATCCATAAGCATGTGAGTAACTAAGAAGATTGCATAGTCAGTAATGAGGGCATCTGCCTGGAAGCAGCCAGTCCTTTGTTCCCTTTGAAGTGTTTATTTTCTAGAGGCCTCCAGGCAGCAAGCAATCAATGGCTAGTGAATACCACCCAGACAAAGGACAAAACCCCAGAGTTTTACATGCTTTGGATGGTTTTCGGATAGACTTCATGTTGCCTCTAGTAAAATATGCCCACCTCTCTTGTATTGGAGGAATTATATTAAACATAATTTAACATTTATACAGAAAGGGAAATGGGAGATGTTTGTTTTAAAATATAATCCTGAACATATAACTCATTTCTAGTTGCGCTTACTTGAATTGCACAACATACTTTTAGCATTATTCACGAGTGGTGTATGTTTTGCCACCAAAGAACATTCTAATTTTCTGATTTTTTCCCCCTTGAATTTCCCTTGAAAAAAACTTTCACAGAATGGTTTTGGAAAGCATGCTCAAAAAGGCTTCCCACCCTTTGAACTTGTTGACTGAAATGTTTTATCATTTCCTCATGTGCAGTCATCAAGGACTATGCTCTCCTATATAAACGAGGATTAAGAATGATAGTCACTCAGTTTGTGCTGTGCTAAAAAGGAGTCGAAAGGGCAAAAACCAAGAAGAATGAGAAAGTAAAGGGTAGCCAGAGAAACTGGATTGTTTTCTATTCGTGAGACAAGCGTGAGGGGAAACAGCCAGATGGAGCATATGAGCTTGCAAGCAGAAGAGGGGGTTAAGAGGAATGCCCTTAAGAAATATAAGATACTTTGTGCTGTAAGTATTGTTCTTTGTTTCTGTTTAACTTCGAATGCTAACGTTTCATTTATCTGCTCCAGCCTTGTTTATGTTCCATTTGACATTTGATCATCTGGAAATTTCCTGGCAGGTTTTGAAGGTAGGAGCATGCAAATGCAGCAGCTTTCACTGTGCAACGGCTATTGTTAATGTTCTCAGTTTACAGTCTGCTGAATAACGGATACTGGAACTTTCAAAGCTGAAGAAAGCTGCAGATCCCTTGTTTTTCAGTGTAGGCAGTTCCGCATGTATTCGTTTTTGGCTATTCGAAGCATATGCCTGCTATGGTTGTTTTTAATGAAATGCATATTCTATGTTTCGGCTAAAAGCAGTACTTTTACTGGCTGTAATTTAATTCATTCAGATCCTGCTGTGTTCTGATAATGGATAACAATCTTCGAAATGCTTGCAGACTGACAGGAACAGCATGTAGGAATCAACAGCTAAAGCAGTGATTCCCAAATCCCCCCCCCCCCCAGATGTTTTGGACTTCAGATACCAGAGTTCCAGACTACTGGCTGAGCTGACTGGGGCTGCTGGGAACTGAAATTCAAAGCACCTGGAGGACCAGGTTTGGGAACTGCTGGATATAGGTTGGTAGGTTTTCCCTTGACATTAATCTAGTTGAGTCCAACTCTGTGGGGTGGTGCTCATCTCCATTTTTAAGCCAAAGAGCCAGCGTTGTCCGTAGACATCTCCTAGGTCATATGGCCAGCATGACTGCATGGAGCGCCATTGCCTTCCCACTGAAACAGTACCTATTGAGGGGTCCATAGTGGCGCAGCGGGTTAAACCGCTAACCCGCAGATCTTGTTGACCATAAGGTTTGCGATTCAAATTGCAGGAGGGGGTGAGCTCCCATTGTTAGCCCCAGCTTCTGCCAACCTAGCAGTTCAAAAACACGTAAATGTGAGTATTACTGGAGTAGAGAATTTTAAAAAGTGCCATATCAATGTAATATTGCAAATATTAATTGTTTGATTTCCTTCCCCATGCTATGTTATGTTATTTCCTACACAGCAAACCATAGTTTATTAAATCCTAAATGGCAACCAAGAGTTTACATTTGCCCCCACCCCCGCCCATCCACATTTGCAAACCATTTTTATGCCTATTTGCTATCTTAATCAAGAAGACAGGTGCAAATCATGCTAGTCCAGACTGGATTTTTTTTTAAAAAAATGAAACAGAACATATGAGGATAAAAGGGAGCACGTATGTTTCATGTAATGCCAAAGCATTATTGGTATGTCCTGACCCACAGTCAATTGCACTGTTTATTGTTAAAAATTGTATGAATAGGGAAAAAGGATCTTCCCTGAAAACATCCTTCGGCTGTCAGTAGTGAGGAGGGAAGGCGATGACAATAAGCTTTGGGAAGGAGCACACAATTCACAACAATGTTCAGAAATTGAAAGGATATATATTAAAGACAAAAAGACATAATCAAGTAGACACAGCCCTAAAAAGCAGCTGGTTCAAATGAGAGATGGAATTACACTCAGACACTGGTGGACAGAACTGTATGCACTGTATGGCACATGGCTTCGGTTTAATGGCAGATTTTGACAATTTAGTCCCCTCTCATGACCCTTCCAATAGTACCACAATTTGTTTAGAACTGTCCTAAAACACACACATCTATGATGATTTTTTAAATAAAAGTAATACATTTCTAGCAGTTTTTTTTATTTCTGTCAGGAGGAAGTGTATTGTGAAGCCCATAAGTCTTGCCTGCTCACAATCAAGACACACTGAAATACTTTGGGTTACAACAAAGACAGATCATCACTAAAACATTGTTGGGAATATCCATTTGCTCTTCAGCTCATGTGGGAATTACAGTTAAACTCTTAGGGAACAGGAGACTCTAAAAACAGTGATAGCTGATATTATAAATTCTGTTAGTCAAAAAGCTGAGAGGCTTTGATCATGTGAATCCTGATTCCACTTCAGCACCTTCTACACTGCCAAATAATTCAGATTATCAAAGCCGATAATTTACATTATCGGAGTCTACACTGTCATATAATCCAGTTTTTTTGTTAAAAATGTAATACAAATGTCTGGTTGCTGATGACACGATAAATAAATAAATCCAGTTCAAAGCAGATAATCTGGATTTTATATGGCAGCGTGTTGTTGTTGTTTATTCATTCAGTTGCTTCCGAATATTTGTGACCTCATGGACCAGCCCACGCCAGAGTTCCCTGTCAGCCGTGGCCATCCCCAGTTCCTTCAAAATCAATCCAGTCACTTTAAGGATACCATTCATCCGTCTTGCCTTTGGTCAACCCCTCTTCCTTTTTCCTTCCATTTTCCCCAGCACCATTGTCTTCTCCAAGTTTTCTATATCACTATCTTCACAACTGTCTCTATATTCCATAAGCAAGCCTGAAGCAAATGGTTTTTAACTGCTAATCTACTCAGCTTCTATAAATGTACAATTGAGAGATAGTCTAAAGCGATACATTGTAAGAGTGATCCTGAAAGTTACTTTATAACTCATTAAAAGTGCCGATTAGACAAGGCTTCTAACAAATAATATCTGATCTAAAGTGTACATTTGAACAGATGTTTCTATCCTAAAATAGCATTCCAGGGTATTTTCTCTCAGGGACCTTCCACACAGCCATGTATAACCCAGAAGATCAAGGGAGAAAATTCCACAATATTTGCTTTTAACTGGGGGCCCTTCTACACAGCTAAAGAAAATCCCCCATTTTCTTCTTTGAACTGGAATATATAGCAATGTGAACCCGAATAACCCAGTTAAAGCAGATATTGTGGGATTTTCTGCCTTGATATTCTGGGTACTATGGCTGTGTGGAAGGGCCCTGGGTTATCTGAGTCCACACTGCCATATATTTCAGTTCTAAGAAGAAAATGTGGGATTTTATTTAGCTGTGTGGAAGGGCATGGTTAGTTTTGACAACATGGATTACTTTAAAGGAAGAAGGCAGGAAGAGAATCAGTATGACACTAACTGATATTAGCCAATCGCTTGAAAATTTGCCCTTGGCATAAAAGAAGTAAAATTGTGCTGAATTGGATCACTGGGCCCACTGTAGCTTACCATTATTAGCATTTAATGATTAAATTAACTTTTAAATATATTTAAAATGTTAGTGGAATTTAGGTAACCGAATCTTTAATGAATTGTTTTAAAGCTCTGATCCAGTTTTAAATATCGCCCCTCTTTGCTTTCTAGAATAGGTATGTTTTAAAGTTCTGCGCTTGAAAATGAACCTTCTAACCAAATCCTGTTGTTCAAGTTCATTATAGATAAAAAAGTAGTTTATTGCACTACACCCTATTTATCTGAGTTATGTGAAGAAACACATGTACGCTCTTCCAAGAGTTTTCTATTCTCACCAATAGTTTGAAAAAATTGTGTGTTGGGAAGATGCCCAATTAAAGCCCATGTTAGGTGTAGTTATTTCCAAACTTCTTGTGGCTATTACAGATGAGGGATGATGTGAGCCCAAGGCCCAATCTTGCCCATTCAAAGAGTGCAGGGTGGCAAAACTTGCAGCAGTTCACAAGGCAGGTTGAAACAAGGTGCACAGGAGCATGCACCTGGTTTTTTCATCTCACATCATATTCCAAGAAGCATCACTGAGTTTCAGGATAATTAATATGTGTCCTCCCCAAATGGCTTGTTTTGATTTCCTTGATATGTGTATTTGAACCAAGCCTGTTCAAGTGTTTACATTGGCACACCAAAACGAATACAGAAATTATACCTAATTTACGGAAAGTAGATTTTACTTCACGGAATCCTCCCTTCTAGCACAAAAGTAAACTCGATACGTAGAATACAAATATTTATTTAGTCCATTTTGTTAGAACAGCCGGACCTGCATTTGACCTATAAAGGAAGAGATGATAATCCTCATATGTAGTCATGCTCTAATTGTGTTCAATCTACATGAAAAAAAAGAGGGCACTGCCTTGCCAACTTCTTTGTGGATGTTTTCCACCCAATGCCACCTCTCTGGTAAAAAAAATAGGGTCCCCAAATATTCATATATACAGGAAGCTCTCTGATTCAGACTTTTAATTTGCTGAAATAATGGCAGAAGGGAGAACAAAAATCTTGATAAAATACAAACTACACTACAATTTTATCTCATTTTAATTAAGCCCAACCACCATCATAGTCTTCTAAAAACAGTAGTGGCCTAACACAAAATATGAAGGAGCTGATTGTCTTTGGCTTTCTTATCATTCAGCTATAACTGATTTATGCAAATGTTCAAGGTCATAATAAAACTTGGTGCTTACCTGATTTGAGTCCAACTGATTAAGTAGAAATTTTAGTATCTACTTATTACATCCCAATGGATTTCTAGCCTGCTTTTCTTCTCTTATACAACCCTATTCATGTGTTCCAGACCCCCATTGATTTAGTGCCATCCAGAGGAAAGCAATAATAATAATAATAATAATAATAATAGTAATCTGGCACAAGTCAGTAACGGTGGTCCCAGTAGTGACTACCAAACTGGGTATAGTGCTTAAAGACCTTGACCTGCACTTGAAAACAATTGATGCTGAAAAAAATTTCATCTGTCAGCTGCAAAAGGCCACCCTACTCGGATCTGCATGCATTATTTGCCGATACATCACACAGTTCTAGACACTTGGGAAGTGTCTGACATGTGATCCAAAACAAAAGCCAGCATAGTGATCTTGTTTGCTGTGTACTAATCTTGCTGTGTATCAAACAACAACAACAACTTTATTTCTTACCAACCTCTCCTCACAGCTTGAGGCAAGTTGCTGCTCCCTCCTCTATTGCCCCTGGATGCATCTCCGTCAATGAGAGGAATGCCCAATGGGCTTGTGTGTGTGTATGTGTGTGTGTGTGTGTGTGTTAGTAATGCTGCCCCCAGTATCTGCCACATGAGGCAATTGCCTCTGTCTGGCCTTGCACTGAATAGATTAGTTTGCCTGCTCAGGAAAGGTCATTTCTA